CCTGAATGGTGCTGGTTTCATAACACTTACGGGGATGAAGCCAGAAAATGTCGTAAACCATGCCGTTTTAAGAAGGACACAAACTCGGGAAACGGTCACGCCGGCACGTGCTCACGGCAACCGTAGCCGGCGGAAAAAGCCGTTTGCTCTACGTCACCGACATTAAAACGAAAGTCCGCTACCTCGTCGACACCGGCGCAGAAGTTAGCGTTCTTCCAGCAACGACAAAGGAGCGTCATCTCGACCCATCCTTCAATCTTCAAGCAGCCAACGGCAAGGCAATCGCGACATTCGGGAGACGGTATGCCTACCTCAACTTAGGTTTACGCAAACCTATCACTGGATTTTCCTCCTGCTGACGTCTCTATGCCCATCATTGGCATAGATTTGCTGAACCATTACGATCTACTCGTAGATGCTCGCCGTCGACGACTGATAGATAACAACACAAAGTTATCTATTGGCGGCACCACCTATGTAGGTCCGAGTTTAGCCATCGTTAGGACTAAACAATCAGGCGACGCGTCCTACCAGGCAGTTCTGGAGAAATATCCAGAGTTACAACCAAAACACACTCTTCCGTGCATAACCAGCAATGTTATGCATCACGTCACAACCACAGGTCCACCTGTGGCATCCAAAGCGCGCCGTTTAGCCCCCGATAAGCCAAACGGCGAAAAATGAATTCGACCACATGCTCGAACTGGGCATTATCAGACCGTCAAACAGTCCTTGGGCATCGCCATTGCACATGGTCCCAAAAAGGATAGCAACGACTGGCGTCCGACCGGTGATTACCGAAGGCTTAACGCCAAAACAACTCCGGACTGCTACCCTATACCCCACGTTTACGACTTGACCGCAACCTTATGCGGCATGAACATTTTCTCGAAAATCGACTTGGTCAAAGCGTACAACCAGATACCTATGGCAGCAGAAGATATCGCGAAAACAGCCATTATTACTCCTTTTGGCCTGTTTGAATTCCTGCGCATGCCTTTTGGTCTTCGGAATGCAGCACAAACATTCCAACGCTTTATGGACGATGTCTTCCGTGGTCTGAATTTTGTTCATGTCTACATCGATGACTGTCTAATTGCGAGTCCAGATAAGGAAACACACCTTAAACATTTGGACCTCGCATTCGAAAGACTCAAAAAACATGGCATCACAGTTAACTTACAGAAGTGTGAAATAGGAGTTGAATCACTCAGCTTCCTTGGGCATACCATTGACAACAAAGGTATACGCCCATTGAGAGATAAAGTGGCGGCTATCACAAACTATCCAGAGCCGACCACTGTGAAACATCTCCGCACTTTCAATGGCCTGGTAAGTTATTACCGAAGGTTTATCCCTAACTGTGCCTCTGTCATGAGACCACTCACAGATCTACTTCGAGGAACTGCGAAGTTCGTGTCTCTGGACAACGCGGCTAGACTTGCTTTCTCCAAAGTCAAGGAAGCCATTTCGAACGCAACCATGCTTATGCATCATGACCCCAATGCTCCTCTGAGTATTGCTGTTGATGCATCTGATTCAGCAATTGGAGCAGTTTTGCAACAGTTGACTGACAACCAGTGGCAACCGTTAGCCTTTTTCTCGAGGCGGCTGCAAGACGCGGAAACAAGATACAGTACATTTGGTAGGGAACTCCTAGCCATGTACTGTTCTGTACGCCATTTTCGACATTCTGTGGAAGGTCGTGATTTCATTATTTTCACAGACCACAAACCGTTAACTTTTCCCTCAGCTCGGCGTCTGACAAATACTCCCCTCGTGAGTCGCGACAGCTGGATTACATTTCCCAGTTCACGTCAGACATCCGCCACATTTCTGGAGCAAACAACTCCGCAGCCGACGCACTATCTCGAATAGCTTCGATAAACTATATCGAGGGTATTGATCTCGTTGAACTAGCTCGGCGTCAAAAGGAAGACCTTGAGCTGCATCATGAGTTGTCGTCCACAACTCTCAAACTGCGACTTTGTCCTGTTGGATCAGACAAGGATGCAATTTTGTGCGATGTCTCTGCTAGTCAACCACGCCCAATAGTTCCGAAGAGTTGTCGACGCAACGTCTTCAATACGTTGCACAAACTCTCTCATCCAGGTGTACGAGCCACCATTAGGCTTATCGCACAACGTTTCTGCTGGCCTGGGATGAACAAAGACGTTAAGGAGTGGGCCCAGTCGTGCTTAGCTTGTCAAAAGTGTAAAGTCACGCGACACACGAAAAGCCCTTTAGGCTCATTTCTAGCCCCAGACATGCGTTTCGACCACGTCCATATAGATATTGTAGGACCCCTACCAGAATCTAATGGATGTACCTACCTTTTCACTTGTGTTGATCGTTTCACACGATGGCCGGAAGCAGTACCCATTAAAGATATTACTGCCGAAACAGTTGCTCGTGTTTTCGTCGAAAGATGGATCGCGAACTTCGGATGTCCATCCTACGTCACAACCGACCGTGGGCGCCAATTTGTGGACTATTTCACGCTCTAACGGCACTTTTAGGTTGCACTCGGTTCCGAACGACAGCCTACCATCCACAAGCAAATGGCATGGTAGAGCGTTTCCATCGACAGCTGAAAGCTTCCCTTTCAGCTACAAACATACCTCAGTGGACCGAGGCTCTGCCTCTAGTCCTACTAGGTATTCGTAACGCGTTGAAAGTTGATGCTGGATGCACTCCTGCAGAACTCGTCTATGGGACCACTCTTCGCCTACCAGGTGAGTTTGTTTCCCCTTCAACTTTCAAACATGTTTCCGACAGGGCATCTTACGTGACTAGGCTTACAAACGCAATGCGTTCAGTTAGGCCTTCTCCGATTAGACCGCAAACGACTGATGTTTTCGTCCACCCCAGTTTACAGAAGACATCACACGTGTTTGTTCGCCACGACGCTGTTCGTCGACCACTTGAACCACCCTACGACGGGCCGTTCAAAGTGATTAAGCGACATGAGAAATTCTATAATTGAGCGAGACGGACGTGAAGATACTGTCAGTATCGACCGTTTGAAACCAGCTTATTTCGAAGGCAACCCCATTGTAAGTGACGTTTCAGCTCGCTACATCCGACCGACGGATGACTCAATTATCGAAATTCTCGACGATGTGCCTGGTAATGCACAGCTGCAACAACCATCGGCGCAACAAAAAACACGATCAGGTCGAACCGTCAGGTTCCCAGAGTATCTGAAGTCATATTCAACTTAGCTGTGTGTGTGCCAACCATTTTTTTTCGAGGCACTATTTTTCTTATTTACCGGCAATGCACAACCCTCGTACACTTTGCCTTTTTATATCAATTTTTATTACCATGTAATAAAACTAAAAAAAAAACGGCGAAGATAAGCGTAAATTTTTATTTTTCGATTCGTTTATATATAAATAATTCCCATTTTTACGCAACGTTTTCGTGGTATTAAAGACTTTTATTTATATTCCAGGTGCAACGAGCACTGGACGGAACGTCGAAAGGAACAGATGACCGCGACCGACGTACAATTTCATTTATTGTATTTTATTTATTTAATCGCCACGACACCCTAGAATAAGGTTCAGACAACCAGGGGCCACCTCACGCAGTGAGCCCATCGGAAGTTTTACCAGTGGAGAAACCACTGGGTTTTTACTTCCGGCTGGTATCGTCTTAGGGTCCTCACGAACCCACTAGGGGGGGAGTGATCTGTAGCGTCATACACTTCCCCAAAATCAATAGCCTAGGGTTTGACGACTTCGACATTGATGCTGACCTTGATAGTTTAACTGGACTCGCTAAGCTGAAGGCCCCGGTCAAGCATCCTCGCCATTTGGCACGCTGTCGTGTTACGTTGCATTGCTCGTATTCGACTCTCTAGCCAGTTAGTTGGAACGCATCGGTATTTTGGCATAACCATCCAAATATACTATTCCATCCGACTACGCTATCGTGTTCTTCCTTGGTCTCGTATTCGTGGGTATATAACAAGTCCGAATGATTAGTGATTGATCTTTGTGTCCGTCAAGTTCGCACCAGGACAAATCCTAAAAAGCGATTAATATGGGGGATACCAGTTTACAAGCACCGTCAAATTCATAACCTTTGAAAGTTTACGAACTGGTATCTGGTATTAAATAGTTTACATATCGAGTCATTAGTGTGCACAATCTGCTTATAAATTTGCTGGAATTCATGAGACGATATGGATTGTGTTATAACCAGCCGACGTTGTTGATCCATTCGCATAGTTAGCTAATTAGTAACACCATGGGCGTCATGCAAGTTAGGTGGTCTTGTAGGCGGGGGGTGTTACTGTTCCTTAACGTTTGACCAACCCTACTTGACTTGATGTGCTCTAGCACCTGCTTAATCATTACCTCGACCAACGTGAAAGTACTGATGACGAGACATAAATCAAAAGAACTGGTTTCAGGAATATATTAAGAGCAGTAATACACTTATTTGGAATAAATGTAATGATAATGAATAGGGGAAAAGTTTATTCGACTTATCCGGCTAGTATGGTTGAACTAGGGACTCTGAGTACTTGGGTACTAACCAGCTCAAAGGTAGCTCAAAATGCCTCCGAAGCCTGTTCGGATGCATGTTCGTTAGAACAAAACTTCAAACACCCAAAGCATCCGGAGGCAAGCTAGAGGTTTATTTAGTTGACTTAATTTAATCTATTTATTTAAGCACTAGTTGTGTTTTGATGCCAGGACGGTGCGCCACAGTTTCATGGAAAATAGTTTGAGTCCACAAGTGAAAGGTTTCCTGCTACTAATTTCAATGACATTAATTCCGGAAAGGATAAAAAGTCCCTTTCTATGGGAATTCGTCCAACTTATGTGATATTAAACTGTTTCAAGGAAGTTATACGAATTGTTATTCTATTACGCGCTTACTACTTAGCGTCGGATACTTTAGCTGCTGACTACCAACAAAATACTAAATGTGTTACTACTTCATTTTATGCATATGCTGAAGACAGGGCATTTGTTCATTACTGTCTTAAGTTGGTGGAGGCGTAGTACCGGTAACTTCGAATTGACACTAATTCAAATAAAAACGCTACAAATCTACTTATTTTCGTGAGTTACTGTATTCATAAATGTACTGATGCTTCTCTTACACCGAAATTCGATTATTTTATTATATACAACGTATTTATAGTGAATAATACTCTGGGTATAATTTTGAAGTATGTGTTCATCGAAATGTCACAAGAGTTTCAAATATTGGAGAACCTCCTTAGATTAAATGGAGGTAAACTAATAAAAACAATTAAGTTCTTCCATATACATCCAAAATTTATCTTAACAATATAGCTTCCACAAGTGCACTGGTAGTTGGCAGATTGCCTAATATACTTTCCTTCCTTGGTTTTAACTTTCGATGGCTGTAAACAGCACAAAGGGGAAGTGTTTCGATAGTTAACCAAAACATCAATACAAATTGTCTGTATCTTGTTTTGCTTTACTTCATGCACCACTGAGCTTAGGTTGCGTAACTGGGGCGATTTCTTATCTGTATACGTTTGTTTTGGACATGACACTTATTTAGATGGATGCTTAAATGCTTTCATCTGAACCATCTGAGCATATTTTCGCTTTTTAAGCACAAAATGTTTTGCGAAGACAAGTCTTATCTGAGACGGATATTAATGGTATTGTTTAAACGATGAGCAACTAACTGCCTTAGTTATAGCCATCAGTCGCTTCAAGTGCAATGAAAAAGCTTAGTACAAGATCAAATAAAATTTCAGCCCTAATTGTTAAACAAAATGTAATCTCTAAACTTAATAGCTATTCTTTGTGATAACCTTCACAATTTATTACAGTTTGAATAAACAAGCCTCGTTTTCTTATGCTAATGGATCTTTTTGTGGAAAAAATGTTTCAAGAGAGAACATAAAAAAACAAAGAAGTATACAAAGGTAACACATCTAATCCTACTCGTTTTTGAAGCACTTCAAAGCAACAAAAATAACCAAGGGAATTTTTGAAAATTTTCAGAAGGACATTTCGACTATACCCTTAGCTTTTGCTCTTTTTTGCCTGAAAATTTAAAGTTAAGCTTTCAGTAACCATAACCTGGTTTCCTTCATGTTTGTTCGAAATTACAGTTTTTATTTATTGGCTCAGAAATTTGGTTTTTAGTTGTTCACAGCATAAAAGTTTTTTGAACCCAGACCCTATATAACTTAACTTTTTGAAACTTCTGCAAATGAATAGTTTATACTTCTAATACTTGCAGTAGGAAACATATACTCAAATATACTAGAACTCTCGTATGAGGTGGCTTACAATCATGTATAATTGTTATCATTTTATTTTAAAACACAAGCACAATAACCGGTTAGACACATTTCTGCTATCGTGACTTGTTGATGTATGCTCTGTAGACAATCACCATGACAATAATTCAGTCATGAACACTGGGTTTCACTGTAGACCATATTTTTCCTGTTACGAAGTTTCAAAAGTATGCTATCAGTAACAATACGAGGTAAGTAATCCTACCTTGTGGCCAACTAAATACCGCAGTCTTGGAATTATCGACGGATGTTTTATAATTGTATGTGACTATGTGGCATATAATTCCTGACAATTTGTGTTGTTAAAGTAATGCAAACTCCAAATATTTTGCTCCGATGCGTAAATAAAACAACGGTGGTCCGGATATCGGGTTTAAGCTAAGCTTTCCCTTTACTTTAATACGTATTCAAAAACTGAAAATGACGAAATTGATTGGTGGTTTTGCGACTCAGGAAGTCTTTTGAAAAAACGATGTATCAGTAGCATTGACTTTTGAAAAGGAGAGATGTGCTATGATAACCGTAGAAAATATATCTGAAGAAAAACTTTCCACAGTCCTGGTAGTTGTATTTCATGGCATGAAGGCTACATACCCTACAAATGCGCAGTAAAAGAGATGTGAAAATGAACAGAAATAGATAAATCAAATATTGTAAACAGATAATTAAGTTTCTGTAGGCGGCTAAATCCCACAAAAATCTACCTTAAGTATTTTGAATTAGTATATTGACTGCTAACCTACTTTTAGGCATTATATTTGAATCCGGTAGCTTACTAAGGGAATCTGACTATCAGTATGCAACTTATAACTTTAGTTTTGGCACTATGGAAACAAGTGGAAGAATATTAATTATTCTTTTCGACACCTTTCTTCATAGAAGGTTAGAGTATGACGCCGAAAACTTTGGTTCAGTTTCTTCATTCTAAATTGTTAAGGACCTTATAGTTTATGATTATAATTGTCTAGTTAGGCACACATATTTTCAATTTAATATACTTTATCTACTTCTCGTTTTAAAAGATCAAGTACTGCTTTGAAAACTTATTTCAGTGGGATTATGTGTAGTCACTTGAAGCTTCGTAGTAATTGTACTGGTGTTGATAAAGTAATTTAAAATTCCACACACTAAATTCCCTCCTGATATTTTGAGAACTCAGTGAAGATACATGGGTACTCTAAGATTGCTTTTTACTTCACCTATAATAAGCATACCAACTTATTTATTTGTTGTTAAACTTCAGAGGACAACATAATGAGGGAAAAAGGCTACAAAGAAAGACACAAAAACTGTGAGTATATATAAGTAATGAAGTAAAACAACAAAGTCTTCCCTTTATTACAAAAACGAATTCTCTTTGGGTGGCATAACTTCTGGGGAACACCATACAGTAAATGAAAAATTACTATCACTTATTGATACTTTTAGTTTCGATTTGTTAATCTGGATCAAATTGGTCGACCTTTGATGGCATATAGGCTCCTATGCAAAGACCTTAATACTACCCACTCATTGCTTGTTTTATAATTTTCCCGGTGGGAGTTAGCTGTGGAAACGCGTGTCTTAGATTTCACTGCTAACAACCACCCTGTAAATTGTAACGCTACTGTTATTGAAATAAATAAAGCTGGTACAGAAGCAAGATAATTTCGCTAATATAAAAACTAAATCTCATTGCTTACTGGTGCTGAGAAAGGTTAATTCTGACATGGATCAGAAAAGTATAGTTGAAGACTACAGTCCCACTAAGTTTTCTTAGAAAGGCAGGGCAAACAAAAGCAAAAGTGCAGATAAAAAGGAAAATAAGTGCAAATCAGGAGGAGAAAGCCAACGTCTTTTCTCAGCAAACACATATCTAGAAGTAAGAAACGCAAGCATATTAAAGTGTCGCGTAAATTGTTTTTGAATAACAAAAAACATTTGTCATCCATTTTACAGGTTAGTCGTTTTCATACACGTATTTAAATGAAATTTCGAGTACTGATTTCATGAAGCTCCACTTCATCCGATGGCGCTAAGGTCAACTACTGAAAATAAATCTGTCACATGAATTCCCGATTTGCACACAGAACAATTAGGCAAATAGCACGATTCTTCCAGGAACTTTGCTGAGCACTAAGATTGCCAGTGACTGTATTGCCCAAAACTCAGTATGTGTGATATCAAACGTATAAGGATAATAGAAGCTTGAGGGTATCTGATTCTGAAGTTCTAACAGAATGAGCTCTTTCTGTAAGTTCATGAACCTTATCTTCGGAATACTTAGTAGTGCGCAAACTTGCTGTATTGCTATTACATACTAATTTTAAGCTAGAGGGTTGAAAGCAAAGCCTCTTGACATAACCACAGCTCACTCCAAATTTTTAAATGAACATTTATTCCTAATTTTTTATATACTGAAGTTAGAATATATGCAATTATTGATTGTTGTTCGATACGTTTTCAGACAAATAGTTACAATGCTACCTAGTTAAACTCTTCGATTTCAGATTCGAAAAATGTATACACTTCGGCTTGTCTCTGGCTTTCTTTCATAGTCAAAACTTACTAATGTTTCAGTTCAGTTCACATTTGTCAACCTTGATTTTCGATGAAGTCTTTAGTACCTGCTTTTGAATAACATCCTTAGATGAAAGAGTGTAAAGTTCACTCTTTTTGACCTCTATAAATTTAAATGCGATAAAACTGCTAAAGGATTTAACTACTTATTTTATATGTATGCAAGATATTTATCAGGAGTTAAGGGACTTGATACTTCCAGTTCAATGGTTATCTGCTTTAACGTCTTCTCTACTGTGAAACCAATAAAGTGATGGAGGTGAACACGTAATAAAGATTCATAGTAAAATGGCTTCTCTGTGATTGTGTTCATGTTTCATTGTTTCATCATCGACCAGTGTATCTTTAATTTTTTATGTGTGATTTGAAGAAGTGACCAGCTCAGTCAGTAGTACTGATAACGTTTTTTTTAGATTGCAATAATAAATTATTTACATACTTAATATTCACGCCAAAATCCATCCATCATAGGAAAGTTATGGGAAAACTTTAACCAAACCGTCAGCATACAAACACCTGTCACTTGAATGTCGAAAATACTATTATTATTAGGGTGTATACCTCAAATATCCTCGGTTGTTTCCTTCCGGTAGAAAAGTTTGCCCTGTTAATTAGTGAGAAAATTGATGTCCAGTATAATGCCCAAAACTGATCACTGTTTGAGAAGGTGTATATCACTTTGGGCCTCCTGTGAAAACCACCTATGAGTGCTTTAAGATTCACTTGTCAGTTTTTCATCGTTGAACAAATCCTGCTGGAAAAATGTGTACTCATATTACGCATCAAATACGTTCCATAACTTAAATGTGACCGAAGAAGGCGAAGAGAACTGAGATCATGTGATGTAATGGCGGGTTTCACAAACACCATTCCCTCAACCACATTTTAGTAAGAATCAATAAGTACCTTGGCAGAAGTTACGTCAGATCACCACACATTGTCTTAGCCAACCTAAAGAGAACTCAATGAACCAGAAGAAGTTTGATACTATTGATAGATAGTGGCTATCAGTGGAACCCAGGATGCATATTTTTTCCCATTTGGAAATCGTGGGTGGTGTTGTTCCCCCAAGGTTCTAGTCAAGTCCCAAACAGGAGTAAACCTGCATCTTGGATTCCGATGCCAGCCACTATCAATCACCAACTTCAAAATCAAACATATCGGCAATATCAAGGCATTAACGTGGGAGCCCGAAGGTTAGTAATGACAGATCATTTCAATCCGATCAACGACAAAGATACACAAGCTATAACATCATAGAACAGAAAGAAGTTTAATAAAAGTTTAGAATATGTCGTGGACCCTAAATCCCGATAATTGAATGAGTTCTGTGCCAATATCACTGGGATTCTTGTACACCAGTGAAAGCAATTACACTTCCATTTGATTTTACTAGTACTTTCACATCGGATACCTCCAGTCTTCTAACATTCTCTTACCTTTGTCATGCATACTCACTAAGTTATGAGTAGTATAGCCAGTAGAAATCTTAGTCCTCAGTAAGCATTCTCTGAAGAATGTTGTTATTTGCTTAATTTCTCTGATAGGAAATTAGCAATTTCAGTGAGACATTGTTTTGAATAGTGAGCCTTCTTGCTAATAAATGATACAACAGTCTATAATATCATTTTCAATCGATCTGACTTATATGTTCATACTTATGTTTTGGAACACTTTTGCACAACATCAGCAACTTTTTGCATACATTGTTGACAAATTCTTTCTGTTGGTTTTGCCTACGCATACTGGTTCCATATGTCTGTTTTCTTTTGTCAATTAAATAAGGCAGAGGAAAACTATATCTATAACACACGAATGAGTGATTTTATTTCATAGAACTTTTACTAGCCGTACGCACAGGACTCCACTGAAGTGCTTCAAGGTTTACAAGTGCTAAAATGCTTACAGTATGTGAAGTGTTTTCATTCAAGATTGAAGGGTAACCATTCAAACCGAGAAACTTAATATAAAAATAGTTGCAAGGACTGTTTAGAGAGAGTTTTGTAACCTACTAAACAAGGTAAGTGAAGTAATTACGGAGCAAAAATATCACTATCTGTATTAAGAAAGGACACTTAAAGGGTTGAGTTGATCCAAGGAAGTGGCGATCAAAATTAAGAAGGAGTAAGAACGGATGGAAGGTGTGTAATGTGATTCTACATAATTTATGCCAACAGTGACAGTTATGTACTCATCTTTGACTCTTTCCTAATGTCAAGAAGGAATCCAGCCCTCCAGTTGCTGTGGTTTCAATAAATTCCTTCAGTGTAGTCCTGTATCACTTATTGATAAGTTTAAACGAAACTTTTACATAACCTTTAAGTTAAGCATTCATTTAGTGCTACAGAATCCACCATTTCAAGATATTTAGTCTTATTTGCCATGTGTCACGGATTGTGTTCAGTATGGCAAGCAGATGCTCAATTTATGTGATCCTCCGATACATTTGCTTTTGTATGTGTATATGTGAAATAGTAAATACAAAAATATGTCATATGACGGTTAATAATTACCTTTTCGTCTTATTGAACAGAGCTTGTAAGAGAGGGTGACTAATATTGCTGCTACAAATGTACTTTTAGGGACAGATTTCAAAATTGGATTTATTTATTCCGAAGTTTTAGCATCTCTAGACACAAATCAAAGGAACAGTGAGTGCCTTTCAAGTCCAGTCTTCTTACCTCTTCAGAAGATTTATCACCTTGCTTTCTAACTACAGCTTAGGAGCAAGTATTTTTTTTTGAGGATGTTTCTCAATTATTGTACACTTCCTTTGTAACTTTCTTGTAGAATAACTTCACCAGAACATGTTTTCAGTTTGATGGGCAAAAGGTATAAAAACCAAGTTGCTATCTACTCCAAATTTCTTTCTGATAAACAAATTTCTGCTGAGTCCCTTCACTTCACAAGGTGGCATTTAAATCTTGACAGTTGAATATACCACCACAGTGAGATCTTATACTAATTTATCGATTCATTTACCAGCTGCTTGCAAATTATAGATAGGTTTATAAGATAATTCGATGTATTATTCCGTCACTTGATGACGAACTTCGTGGGAAGGTGAAAAGTTTAAACTGCAAAAGGAAGTTACAGTATTGGGAATGATAAAAGCTGGTTTAAAAGAAACTTCGTAAAACTGAACTCCTTTTTCACCTTCATTTGCGGCTTTCTGTTGTTTGTATCCTTTCGTATCTATCCTCTTTTTCCTTGGCGCCGTTTCTTTTTCGATGAATAGTTTTGACAGCATAAACGTTGTTATTAGTATCACACTTTCTACTTTACTGCAGCCAATTGCACATATTTCTAAGTAGGTTATGAATGAAGAGTACAAATTTATAAGTTTTTATCTTGTACGCTTTCTGAGCTTATTGTCAGCTAGTTAATTAATCACTGTGATCTTTCTACTGTGTTTTTATTCGTTCTTGTATCTCATTTCGCGGTATAGCTACAGGCGGTAAAATCTCATGTTTTACGCAAATAACATTTTCAGAAGACTGCCTAACATTTTGTAGATAGGAAATGTTACCGCAGAAAACCGAACAGTTGAGAAGTTTCAGAAGCAATCTCAGTTTGTCGAAATGATAATCAATATTATTAATTCAAGTAGATTCCGATTCGGATGAGAAGTCATTACTTAGCAGCCAATGGGTACACGATCAGGTGATCGTAACGCATCATGAGTAGAGCCTTGTAGCTCAGCTAGTAGAGTACCGAGTCGGAAATCCGGAGGTCAACAGTCTGAATCCTGCTGTGGCCCAAGCTTTTATTTCACCTTCAGTCATCACCAAGTTTCAACACGTCTTCCAAATCAAAGTTATCCAGATAGTTAGACTGATATATTTTAGTCTATAGACAAAAACGTTACAGGAATATATTTTAATATAATCCCAGTATGTTTAGATAATGAAAAAATGAAATTTCTGAATATTTCGCTGTGAAAGCCACAGCCTCTTCAGCAGAACATCATACATGGCTTTAACACTACTTTTCTTCTTTGCCCATCTTTTGTCAAATTTCCTCTACAAAATATCCAAAGAAAGAATTGTTTGATGCTTTCATTAGATAAATTGAGCTGCAAATATTCAAAACAAATACTAACGTAACTATGAGGGAGTTGTGGGGATTTGGAAACATTTCAAGTTGTTATTCATCGTAGACTGACATCAGCTGGAGGAACAACGGAAACCTGGGAGCAGTGGACAGCTGTTTCGTCCTATGAGAAGTCGTGACCGGTCGAGTCAAAGCCTGATGGCCGTGAGGACAGATACTCAACGATGACATTGGGTGGCGGTTGCACTGTATCGTGAGCTAACAGAAGTTGGAAATATGGAGCAGTGAATTCTGACCCGGTGGCTTAATGGTAACGCGCTGGCCGTGGAACCTGGAGGTGGCGCGTTCGAGCCCTGGCGGGGTCGTAAGTGTGCATTGCTGAGTCCCATGCTAGGACGAAACAGCCGTCCAGTGCTCCCAGGTTTCCTTTGTTCCTCCAACTGATGTCAGTTCACGATGAACAACAACTTGAAACCAACGTAATTAGATTTGATAAAGGTGGTTTACGACTGAACAAGCAGATACAATTTATCATTATTATTTGTCCCTTGGGTTCCTAGTACAACATAGAGATTCAGTACCACGTCACCATTTCATTATCTCTCCAGTCTTCTTAACCTGCCTCCACCACTCCCCACAAGCTTTCATTTTTTTCCTAACACCATCTCCTACATGTCACCCTCAACTCAGACGCCCAACTCAACTCGTCGTTTCCCCTTTGGATTCCACTCGAGTGCCTGACCTGGTGCGCAATGCCCCCAATGGTCTTCTCAGTGGATGTACAGTCCAATTCATCTTCACTTCCTTCTTCTGCATATTTGTTCGTCGATGGATTCATGGTTGGTTCGTTGCCACAGTGAGTTCCTTCTTGCTTATTCTTATTATTCTGCCCATCTGATCTTCAGTAATGAGACAGCGTAAGATGCAGCTATTGATGAATGTCTGTTGTCTGTCGGAAATCCCTTTCATCACGACCCACCAGATCTCCCAACCATCACATAGAAGCACTGACTTACTTCACTTACTGAATTAGTGTTGAAAATCCACATCTCGTTCACACTTTATGCTGGGTGGAGTGTAGTAGATCTCCACACTGGTTTCAGATTATTGAAGAGAGGCCTGTCTTGCTGTCTTTCCGATCCTAGCTGCTTTGATATCCTCACCTGTGCCTCCACCTGTAGTTGAAACGATGCTGTCTTGCCTAGACAGGTAGGTGAAAGAGACTACTTCCTTTACATTTCTCCCGTTGATGGTGATTGGTGCTTGTTGTTGTTGTTGGTGGTGGTGGTGTTGGTTGGGTATCTTCATCAACTCTACCTCTGTCTCCTCTACATTCACCTGAAGGAAGTCTCGCCTTCGTTGCCTCACCTCTTCTGTCAACTTGTTGGTCTTTGCCTGTAGATCTTCGGGTTTGTGCGACAAGACATTAGACATAAACCATAATCTGTGAAATCCAAATCTTTCTCTGGGGTCTTTTCATCGGTCCAGCCAGCGTATGTCCCTCTTCTCGCTCCTCACAGTTTGTTGCATAATCCAGTCCAGTCGACTACAATCAGGAATACCGTGGTTGATAGTAGGCGGCCACCTTGTCTTACGCCAGTTCTAACTTTAAAAGCATCACTGAGCTTCCCACTGTGAATCACTTGGCGTGTGGCGTCTTCATATAGTTGTTGAATGAGGTTGATAAAGGTTTGTGGTACTACGGAGTGTTGAAGCAGTTTCCAAATTACTTCTCTTTGAAAGCTGTCGAAGGCCTTTTCAAAGTCGAAGTAGAGAGTTGACTGCCATTCTATACTCTCTTCTTTGATGTTGCGTAGAGTGGCGTTGCAATTTGGTCCGTACATAAACTGCACTTCCTGAATCCAGTCAGCTTGTTCAAGTCGTAATTTTGAATCCAGAGCATCCTTTAGCCTCTCTAGGATGATGCGGCATAATATTTTGCTTGCTCTGGGTGGACAGGGACAAGAGCATGATTCCAAGCCAGTTCTTGCAAAGACTTAGGTCACCCTTTGCCGGGAGTTTCACAACGTAGCCCTTCTTCCAATTACCACCAACCTTTCCTTCCTTCCAGAACTTCTCCAATAGTGGTGTGAGCATGTCTGCTCTTGTTTCTACACCTATTCTCAGTGCTTCTGGTGGGATTCCATCTAGTCCTGCTGCCTTCCCTCATTTCAGTAGCCTTATGACATTCAGGACTTCGACTTTCATCGGAGAGCTTGTGTTCACTGGTAGTTGTGTGACTGGACTGCATGTGGTATTTCAGGACGAAGTGGTGTTGATGGTGGTCGATTGAAGAGTTTTTTGAAGTGGTCAGCCCATTGTTTCTTTTGTTTCTCTTCTTCAGTATTTAGATTTCCTTTATTATCTTTCATTGATTTCATCTGCATTGATGTCTTCACAGATATTATTTTAGTTATTTGATATAGTGTTAAATATAGTGATGAATACAACTTTATCAATAATAATATTTTTCTCATTTGCTTCTAAAATATTTGCATCTTATTATATCTACTTCTAACCACGTTGAATAAAGCTATTCACCTGATATCTTCTATACTACTGCTGTAAGATTATGATGGTTAAATATATTTTCTTTCATTTCGCTTACTGGAACCACTGCAACCTTCTTTAACAACAGTGAATAAGATTGTATTTGTCTGGAAGTAAATAATGGATGAAATATACTGGAATACTTTATAACCAACCTGTTCCAGTTCGCAATCATGCAGTCATATTAGATTCTCATATTTTCTTTACATGAAAATGGTACGATATATTTAACAAATTACATATGAATGAAAAAATAAACATAACGCCCACGCTATTATTACGGTAAATTGAATGAAGAATTTATAAACTATTTACATACAAATTCTGACATCTTAATATTGAGAATGATATACATATATGTAGATTATAAAGAGACGGATAGACTTATTCGCATAGTAATAGATTTTTCGTCTTCAATTTGCATCATTTTCAAAGAATTATCAATTAAGTCTATTCCTTCAGTTATGAATATGTATCATAGCTCAGATCTTAAATTTGTTTGTAAACAATATTGATCAACTAAGCGGATATAAGTAAAGAAAACGAAACAGAAAATTTACATCGAAACTAAAAAAAAAAAGAAAACAACTACCACGAGAAATGATTAACAATAAACAACTTTTCATCTGAATTTATACGTTGCAATCATTCATGACTGATGTGAGGAGCGAGAAGAGGGGGATACAGTGGCTGGACTGCGGAAAAGAACCTAGAAGATCTGGATTTTGCCACCGATGATTTGTGCCTGATGTCACACAAACTTGAAAACCTACAGGCGAAAACTAACAAGTTGGCAGAAGAGGCAGTGAAGACGGGACTTCAGGTGAATATAGAGAAGATAGAAGTGATGAAGATACCACACCAACAACTCCAACAACAACAAACTCCAGTCACCATCACCATCAACGGGAGAAACTTAAAGGAAGTAACCTCCTTCACCTATATAGGAAGCACTGTTTCAACTACAGGCGGTGGCACAGACGAGGATGTCAAAGCCAGTCAGAATCGGAAAAGCAAGACAGGCGTTCATTAGCCTGAAACCAATGTGGAGATCTTCTGCACTCAGTATAAAGCGAGAACAAGATCCGGATTTTCAACAGCAACGTCAAGTCAGTGCTTCTGTATGTTTCAGAGACTTGGCGCGTCACGAAAGGGATTTCCAATGAACTATAGATATTCATCAACAACTGCTTACGCTGGCTCGCTACTGAAGATCAGATGGATTGCCAGAAAGAATAAGCAACAAGGAGCTCTGGAAACGAACCAACCAACAACCTATCACGCAACAAATATGCAGGAGGAAGTGGAGATGGATTGGGCACACACAGAGAAGGCTGACTGAGGACATCACGCGTCAGGCCCTCGAGTGGAATCCCCATGAGCCAGCCAGGTTGGAAAGTTTTCATTGAACAGAGTTCACTGGAGACGTGCTACTGAAGCCCTATGTTCTATTAGGGACCCAAGGGACTAATAATAATAAATAATAATAATCATTCATGACTGATACAGTGTATGTCATTGAGAAACAAAATTTCATGATGTATTAGAATGGTTTAAACCAAACGCACATCAGTATTATGAAGTTACTTTAATGTAAAATCATAATCTATGTGATTGCCAAAAGATAAATCGTAGTAGTAAATTGTTACTTATTATTCTCTGTCAACATTCTTAACATAGAAATGATATCCTTTGTATAGTTAGGAGTGTATTTTAATACTGAGAAATTTACTCATTTGACCTACACTAAAGTATTTTAATATAAACCCAATGTTGATTCAGTCATCATCCTGGTATGGAACTCATAAAGAATATGTTGTTAAACCGTATTCTATACTTACAACATTTTCAGTATGTTAGAAAAATCCTTTGAGTAGAAGTAAAATGGCTGATATTATTATTTTTTATTATTATTAGTCCCTTGGGTTCCTAGTGGAACATAGGGCTTCAGAAGCACGTCTCCAGTGAACTCTGTTCTCTGAGATCTTTTGAACCTGGTTCCACCACAGCCCACAAGCCCTCATTTCCTCCTCGCACGACCTCCTCCATGTCACCCTCGGACGTCCAGCTCGTCGCTTCCCATGGGGATTCCACTCGAGCAACTGGCCTGACGCGTGATATCCTCAGTCAGCCTTCTCTGTGTGTGCCCAATCCATCTCCACTTCCTCCTGCATATTTGTTGGGTGATAGGTTGTTGGTTGGTTCGTTCCCAGAGTTCCTTGTTTCTTATTCTTTCTGGCAATCCATCTGATCTTCAGTAGCGAGCCAGCGTAAGCAGTTGTTGATGAATATCTATAGTTCATTGGAAATCCCTTTCGTGACGCGCCAAGTCTCTGAAACATACAGAAGCACTGACTTGACGTTGCTGTTGAAAATCCGGATCTTGTTCTCGCTTTATACTGAGTGCAGAAGATCTCCACATTGGTTTCAGGCTAATGAACGCCTGTCTTGCTTTTCCGATTCTGACTGGCTTTGACATCCTCGTCTGTGCCACCGCCTGTAGTTGAAACAGTGCTTCCTATATAGGTGAAGGAGGTTACTTCCTTTAAGTTTCTCCCGTTGATGGTGATGGTGACTGGAGTTTGTTGTTGTTGGAGTTGTTGGTGGGGTATCTTCAAAATGGCTGATATAGATTTGATAAAAGTATTCAGATAATGGAATACCATTATCTGAATCTTTTTTATCACTTAATATTGTAAGTAAAATTGAGCATTAAATGTTATTCATGAATTTACTTCAATCTGGAAATAAGGGAAACAGTGAGTTTTGTTAAATAAAGGCTTGGTAATTTGTAAAATTAATCCTATGAAAATATTAATGCTCAATTAGTAAAAGTAGAATTTTCCTGCTCTACATTAGATTATTTAATTTTGTATAACACACAGAATTACAATATGATTTTCTGAATAAAGTCAGTAGACTTAGCTGTTACTTCATTTCTACTAGTTAAACATGATTGTCATAATGATCTGACTATAGTTCTAGAATTCAACTTCATTTTTACTAATCTTGTTAAAAGTTACACACAAAAGTTTTAGCGCTTCAATACGATGTACCGGTAAATAAAGAAAATACATGCGTTTATAGATATCCAAATTAAGTTGCGATTTGATAGTTTGAAAGTAATGATGAAGTTGTATTGTCTGAGCTGGATCGGAGAGCTTTTCTTATCAGTCTAGACAATATCATCAGTACAAACTTCACAAAGAATTGAGCCCTAAGGTTTTCTCCACAATTTATTTAGCAGCTTGTCCTGATGGTCTTGTGTGTGATTTTTTGTAGCTTCTAAGGCTTATCATTCTCTCCGTATTTCTTGTGATTGGTTGTCTTGATGACCCGAAATTTCATTGTTCTGTTGTTTATTATTCAGTGATAGATTGGGTCAATATCAATATGTCTGTCGACTGCTTACTGACCTGCATACGAAGCTTCTAAAAATTCTCTGGAATTCTTTGTATTTCCTCTATCTAGAATTTTCACATTTCCATAGTCAAATTCATGCATTGACTGATATGAGCGAAGATATGTCACGACACTTCACTATTAGTTGATGTTCGCGTAGACGGATGTGACTCTATCCAATGTAGTGGTTATCGCAGTTTCTGCAGTTTATTTTGTAGATAATGTTTGTTTTGTCTTCACTTGTTATTGTGTCTTTTAGCCTGAATAACAGAGACGGAAGAGATTTTTTGGGCTTATGGGATACAGCGATTCGAAAAGTCTTCAATCATCTAGTCGAGATCTGGGAGACTTTCTTCTTGTAAGGTACGACAGTCCTTTTGGTAGTTTTCCAGGTTGACTTCCTAGTTGATAAAGAATTATGTGAACATATTTTTAATGAATTTATATGGATAGCCGTTCTTCTGGAAAATAGCCATCAAATAGTTTTCTTCTTTCCTGAGCAGATTTGATGTGCTACAGTGTGTTTTCTCTCTTTTGTATAATGTTTATATACAACTGATTTTGTGTGCTGTTGGATTGTTGCTATTGTAATTAAGGATGTTAGGCTTTAACAATAAAGTGTCAGCTGTGAAGTTTACGCATAATATTGGTTAGTAATTAAATTTAGTACAAATTATACTTTATGCAAAATAATTTATTGATTAGATTGACTGTGATAATTCGGGATTTTTCTACTTTTTACAGATGTTTGACTGTTTAAATGACGGAACAATATCAATTCAAGCTAACTGTCTTGATATAGCTAAATATTTACAGAATCATGGAATTTCCGATCAGGTGGTTGATATTTTCACTAAAAACACAATTGATGGACTATCATTTTGCCTATTGACAGAGAAAGATTTACAAGAAATGGATATAAAACAAATTGGTGTAAGAAAACGTATCTTATATCTTTGTTCATTTTGGCGTCAACAAGTTGAAAAGCAACGTTATGGAGAATACACTTTACCCAGGATATCAAGCCAAAATTCTCTTGTTGATTTATTAAACTATCAAGATCCTAAACTACTAGCTGAATCACATATATGTAAATCCAATGGTAATAACAATATCGATTGTATAATGGAGGGTTCTTTATTAAATGATTCAGATTATGGAATAGATGAGGACAATTCTAATTCTTGGAAACTTATAATTAGTTGTTTGTATTTTGTTTTTTCTACATGTGTCACAGCATTTGTCATCGTTTTAGCGCATGAACGCCTACCAGTTACATCTAAATACCCTCCACTTCCAGATTTATTTCTGGATAATCTACCTCATATAGGATGGGGATTTATTGCAGCAGAGGTGGTTGGTATAATATTGTTCATTATTTGGTCAACTATTCTTATTTTACACAAATATAGATGGATACTTATGCGACGATTTTTTGTACTTATGGGGACTATATTTTTATTAAGGTCAGTTACTATGATAATAACTTCTTTGAGTGTACCTGGATCACATTTATCTGATCAATGTAGTCCATATATTGTCAAAGATCATTCACAACGCTTCCAACGTGTATTAGAAATATGGAAAGGTCTTGGATTATACATCACAGGGATACAGACATGTGGAGATTATCTTTTTAGTGGTCATACAACTTGTCTTACACTTTTTAACTTTTTTATCACTGAATATTCACCTAAAAAATTGTATCTTTTGCATACTTTTTCATGGGTTCTAAATCTTTTCGGTGTATTTTTTATCCTTGCTTGCCATGAACACTATTCAATCGATGTATTTATAGCTATCTATCTTTCATCAAGATTATTTTTATATTATCATTGTTTAGCTAACAGTAATATTCTACATCTACCAGGTAATGAACGTACAAGAGTATGGTTTCCATTATTCTCATTTTTTGAAGGCAATGTCACATCAGTTGTACCAAATGTCTATGAACTACCATTTTCATTTAATTACTTCAACAAATCTAATCATAATGATATTAATTCCACTAATGGTGATAATAGTAGTAATAGTGATACATACAACCAAAATTTACATAAAAAACAAATGTTGAATGATCATAGAAAAGTTAATCATTCTCTCCTTCGAAACTATTACAATGAATATTCAATTCGTTATCAGACACCACAAACATTGGATCTAATTGTTACAAAATATGAGGATAATTTCAAAAAAAAGAATGTTAGTAATATCTGTTTAGCTGTATTCCAGTTCAGAATTGTTCAACATTATTTTATCAAAGTAACGGATAATAATACTACAGTAATAAGTGAATTATCACGAAAAGGTCGTGAAAGAAAAATTCAATAAGTAGACTGTCATTTAACAAAATATCCTGTAAACATGTAATTGTTCACCATGTCATTTTTTTTTCATATGTAGTTATCCCTACAGACATATACATATCACTAATATATAATAAACATCATTATAATCTTTTGTCAACCTAGCCTGGTTAACTAGTTCACTAGTTACCAGTCGGTCCTAAGCCCGTGTAAAGAGGGAAGGTTGAGCAAAACAAATCCAAACGCTAAACAAACTCCAAAGCACAAACAAAATTATTCCTCACTGGAATCGGAGAGGCGATATGACGCCAGTTGGCGAAAGCCTTCAGGAAGCCAATCGGCCGATGTGTCTTCTCCCCCTCGATGAAAGTGAAAGTAAACGTGGGGACGTGGAATGTCCGTACCATGTTTGAACCCAGTAAGCCAGCCCAGATTGCAAACGAGATGAGAAGGTATCACATTGAAGTGCTTGGAATTTGCGAAAGCAGATGGAATGGGAGTGGACTCTCTAAACTGTCATCTGGAGAATCAATAATCTTCTCCAGTCACCCAGACGACAACCACGAGCACACTGAGTTTTGGAGTGGCTATCATGATGTCCTCAAGAGCATCGAAAGCTCCCATGCAGTGGGAACCAATCTCCTTCAGACTCATGACAGCGAGGTTCAACTCAAAAGGAAGGAAGGTCACAAAGATACAATGTTACGCACCTACAAATAATGCAGATGAAAAGAAAAAGGAGGAATTCTACAGACAAATGCAATCAGCACTGGACAAGACCTCAGTTGGTGATATCGAAATTCTAATGGGCGACATGAATGCCAAACTGGGATCGGACAACACAGGAAGAGAACTAACCATGGGTCGAGGAGTCCTCGGTGAAATGAACGAGAATGGAGAATTAATTGCAGACTTCTATGCATTCAACGACTTAGTGATTGAAGGCAGTGTGTTCAAGCACAAATATATTTACAAGAGACATGGATTTCACCAAACACCAGGACACACGAAAAATCAGATCGACTTCATCTCAATGTGAAGAAGGTGGAGACGCAGCCTACTTGACACAACATCAAGAAGAGGTGCAGACATATATGCACACCACTCACTTTCTAGTGCAAGGATCCTACCTTCAAACTCAAGTTGAAAACCTTCAAGGAAGCTGGTGATGAAAGACCAGAGTTCACGTTCAGCACTCAGAAACTGAAGGACGAAACTACAAAGGACATCTTCACGCCAGCCATCAAGACAAAATGGGAGATACCGAGCAACATCCCTGAAGAAACCTGTGTAGATGAACACTAGAACTCTTCGAAAGCTATGTCAAAAGAAACCCACATAACCATATTAGAAAGCAAGAAGAAAGAAGATAAGGAATGGATCTCGATGGACACATGGAAGCTGATAGACCAGGGAGAGGAGGATGGTGATAGTGAAGCAGAAGATAAACCAGTGCAAGCATGCTCAATGACAAGAGGAACTGAGTACAATGTATAAAACACTACACTGGACAAAGAAGTGAAGAAGAGTGTGCACAAACACAAAAGACACTTACTTCTACAAAACACTGGCAAGTGAAGCACAACAGTCTGCAGGTGGCAGAGACAGAGATCTGACAACATTGTGTCAAATAAACAGGTTACTATCTGGGATGGAGGAGATCAACACAGATGAAACCAATGAAAGATGATGAAGGAAATCAAAATACTGAATAAGAGAAACAAACGAAACAATGGGCTGACCACTTCAAAAAACTCTTCAATCGACCACCACCACCATCATCATCATCAACACCACCACTTCGTCCTGAAATACCACATGCAGTCCAGTCACACAACTACCAGTGAACACAAGCTCTCCGATGAAAGTCGAAGTCCTGAATGTCATAAGGCTACTGAAATGAGGGAAGGCAGCAGGACTAGATGGAATCCCACCAGAAGCACTGATTATAGGTGTAGAGACAAGGGCCGACATGCTCACACCACTATTGGAGAAGGTCTGGACGGGAGGAAAGGTACCTTTCGATTGATTACAAGTTGAGCTACCTTGTCAAACTCCCGAAGAAGGGATACCTAAGTCTTTGCAAGAACTGGCTTGGAATCATGCTCCTGTCCCTGTCCACTCAGAGCAAACAAAATATTATGCCGCATCATCCTAGAGAGGCTTAAGGATGCTCTGGATTCAAAACTACGACCAGAACAGGCAGGCTTCAGGAAGTGCAGTTTATGTGCGGATCAAATTGCAACGCTACGCTACACGTCATCATAGAAGAGAGTATTGAATGGCAGTCAACTCAACTCTATCTCAACTTCATCGACTCTGAGAAGGTTTTTGCCACCGTCGACCGAGAGGTAATTTGGAAACTGCTTCAATACTACGGGATACAGCAAACTCTTATCAGCCTCATTCAACAACTATATGAAGATGCCACATGCCAAGTAATTCACAATGGGAAGCTCAGTGATGCTTTTGAAGTGAAGACAGGAGTGAAACAAGGTTGATTACTATCCCCGATAATATTCCTGATTGTACTGAACTGGATCATGTAGCAGACAACAGTGGTGAGCGAGAAGAGGGGGATACAGTGGCTGGACCGCAGAAAAGAAACTGGAAGACTTGGATTTCGCGGATAACTTGTGTCTAATGTCACACAAACTGGAAGATACACAGTCGAAATGTAACAAGTTGACAGAAGAGGCGCTGCAGTGAGGACGGGACTTCCTTCAAGTGAATATAGAGAAGACAGAGGTAGAGGTGATGAAGATACCTAACCAACACCACCAACAACAACAACAAGCACCAACCACCATCAACGGGAGAAATGTAAAGGAAGTAGTCTCCTTCACCTACCTGTCTAGGCAAGACAGCATCGTTTCAACTACAGGTGGAGGCACAGGTGAGAACTTCAACGCAGCCAGGATCGGAAAGACAGCAAGACAGGCCTCTCTTCAATAATCTGAAACCAGTGTGGAGATCTACTACACTCCACCCAGCATAAAGTGTGAACGAGATGTGGATTTTCAACATTAATTCAGTAAGTGAAGTGAGTCAGTGCTTCTATGTGATGGTTTGGAGATCTGGTGGGTCGTGATGAAAGGGATTTCCGACAGACAACAGACATTCATCAATAGCTGCATCTTACGCTGTCTCATTACTGAAGATCAGATGGGCAGAATAATAAGAATAAGCAAGAAGGAACTCACTGTGGCAACGAACCAACCATGAATCCATCGACGAACAAATATGCAGAAGAAGGAAGTGAAGATGGATTGGACTGTACATCCACTGAGAAGGCCAACTTGGGACATCACGCGCCAGACCAGGCACTTGATTGGAACCCACATGGGAAGCTACGAGTTGGGCGTCGCAACTGTGGGTGAGATTGAGTAGATCGTGTGAGGATGAAATGAGAGCTTGTGGGCTGTCGTGGAGCCAGCCAGGTTGGAAAGTTTTCAGAGAACAGAGTGGAATGGAGACGTGCCACTGAAGCCTTATGTTCCATTAGGAACTCAAGGGGCAAATAAAAATATAATAAATAAGTAATCTTTTTGTCGTATTCTTTTGTCAAATCCAAATGAAATATGAAAATGAATTTTTGAAGTTTCGCAACTTCTTGGAAGTCCTTTTATCGAAGAATACAACCTGTATAAATTGCTGAATAATTACATAGTAAATGGTTTTCCATGAAGTCAAGAAACGTCAAAAATTCTTCTATCTCATTGAAAGTTGACAAGCATATTCCATTTATAATCCATTTACTCAATTTTCAATTCATTCAACTCTAGTAAGTCAAAATTTGATCCTGAAATCTGTGGAAAAACTTCAGTTTTTAATGAAAGTCACCTGTTAATTCTAAAACGAAAAAAGGTAAACGGAAACACAAAAATAATTGTAACGGCTTAGTCACTTTCTCATTTCAATCTGAAAGGTTATCTTAATCAGTATTTTGATATTATTATTATTGATATTTGTCTTTTGGGTTCCTAGTGCAACATAGAGATTCAGTAGCAAATCACCATTTCCCTCTCTTCTCCGCAGTCTTGTTAACCTGGTTCCACCACTGCTCACAAGCTTTCATTCCTTCCTAACAACATCTCCTCCATGTCACCCTCGGCTCAGGTGCCCAACACGTTCTTTCCCATTTGAATTCCACTCGAGGGCCTGGTGCGTGATGCCCCTAATCTGTCTTCTCAATGTTCAATCCATCTCTACTTTCTTCTGCATATTTGTTGGGCGATGGGTTGTTGTTTGGTTCGTTGCCACAGTGGGTTCCTTGTTGCTTATTCTTTCTGGCCATCAGTAATTTCATCGAAATATGAAATAATTTTTTTTATCTTACATCTATGGCATTCTACACACATATCTCCCGTTAGCAATATGAGAACAGTGAGAAGAAATGTTGGAGTACATTAGCTTGAACCCATTTTGTGACTTCTCTTGGTATCTTCAGATGTGTACAGCCTGTATTCTTTAAGATAACAAATAAAAACAAAAAATCAACATACACTGCTAGACAATGGGAATAGCAAGGGAAGGAAACTGTGAAAATGTTTACTTAGTGATCTCATAAACAGTATACATAAGAAGAATAACTTCTTAGCAGTATAGGAAGATAATTATAAATTTAACCTTTCATACTTTAGTAAACAACTTAAAATATATTGTACACCCCAAATATCTGCTCAACGTAAGAGCATATGTAATAACTTTCACCTTGATTTCAACAGTTTCTATCCACTCAAATATAAATAAGCACTAGATAAGTTGTTTTCGCATAGTGTACAAAGAAAACAGTGAATAGGTTAACTGGAAATACAACTACAGCTGTTTGAGAAGTATATCCATGAAAATACAAAACCAAAAAGCTTAAACAGAAAACACAGTAGAAGAAAACGTAGTAAACACAACATTAGAATTCCACAACACTTCTTCAGTCATATGCTTCAAACAGTGAAACAGTATTATTTACAAGATAATTTTTCCTCATAATTATATCAAGGAACAAGCAATTAATTCTGGTAGAAAAATCACCCCATCAGTAATGCTGTTTCAATGTGTATTCCAAATAATAAAAGAACTAAAGTGGTAAATGTGTTATAATTGAGAACATGATCAGGTAGAAGCTAGTTTTCATTTATCTCGACTTCAAAATTGATG